AGTGCTTGATAGGAATTATAAAAAGGTATAAAATATTAAATCCAACACCGTTGAAAGGGAGTTTTTCCTTCCCACTGTCACCCTCTGTGCTAATTCTGTGACAAAGTGATTCAATGCAATCACTTCCTCAGATAACATTTTATAATGTATGCAATTGTTTTTGTACATTTAGACAGCATTTGTTGAGTTGGCATTACATTCCTTCATCCTTTATTTATACAAATGAACCACATTGAGCCTTGAAGACTCTTTTACAGACAATAAAATGGTGAAAGTGACAACATGAGTGGGGAGTGGTGGCGCAGAGGTTAGAGAGGTGGGCCTGTGATCCGAAGTTCGCCGGTTCACGCCCCGGCCCCGACAACATCAAAATTGTGGGTGGGGTAGGTGAAACACTCACACTTGCCCCCACCCTCATTCGCCCCACTCTGGGCCCATGAGCAAGGCCCTTAACCCCCACCATGTGCTCCCTAAACAGGTCTCTCTTGAAAATGAGTTCTCGTGGCTCAATGAGACTAACCTGGATAAATAAAGGCTAAATGAAAAAAAAAAAAAAAAAACATGGGTTTTGGAGGCAAAAAAAATTCCCAACAGACTCTCAATCTTTGGCTGAAGATAAACAGCCTGAAAATGGGAAGAAAAAAACCTTGCACATAAGCACGTACTGACGCAGACATTTCGCAGGGAAGGGGGGGCACGAGGGCAGTGAACGTGTCCAAGGACACTCACAGAGGCACTGCAAGAGTTCTGATGAGAGTGGTATAATCGCTCAATTCCCTCTGGAGAGATCCATAAGCACTCTCTGGGATGCTGAAGTCGACCAAGCATCAGATCAGACTTCAAAGAGTTCTGAAATGGTGACAGAATGTTTATTCAACCAGGCCCTTCTGATAGGTCCATACTTCCTCGTTGGGAGAGAGAAGGGAGCAGAGCATATGGTTTACAGAGCCTTCAGGTGGATTAAGTTCAAGTGGCCTGTCAAGGTCAGCCAGGGAGCCAAATTCAGAAAAACACATTTGTTCTGGGGACAGGTAGAACTTTACTGATTATGACTACCTTGAGTTTGTGTCGGTTTTCTTAGTTCTGAAACGTCCAAATTATGTGGACACACCATTGATCGGAGTTTTCCCCGAGGTCTGATCCATCCTGCCAGTGAATCCTGGGGGCTGCAAGGGGCCTGCGATTCTCACAAATCACATCCAGTCTGCGGCTTAGTTCACAAAGCAACTGAGTCTGGCTGCTCGAGGAACGAACCAAACCATCACATAAGGCAGGCAGCCTGACCAGGGCCAAATTTGCTGCTGACGACTTCCTTGTTTGTGGACAAACCAGGAACCAGACAATTCCAAAAAGCCGGAAACCTGTTACCATAAATTAAATTATATATGCGTCCTCAATAGAGTTGCACTCGGGTCCAAAATATCCGATCTGACCCGGCCCCAGCCGCAGCCATCAGCTCTGAACCTCACCCGCTCTGACGAATTAGCAGTAATTACAGGTCTGTACCTGAAACCCACCCCCCCACCACCAACATTTTTAATTAAGCATTGACACCTTATACCACCGACTATTATTAACAATTGGCGGACGTGCGCAGCTGAGTAAAAGAGGCAGAAGATCAAAGCTGAGGAGCCTTCAAAGCGCATTAAATGCTTTCCCTGCTTCTGCCTGCATTGAACCCTGCATGTCAGATATTTTGTGATCTCACCTGTTTGGTTCATCGGCCGCGCGCATCTGCTGAGTGCAGCGGCTGAATGAACGTCCATTTGGGCTAATGGGTCGCCAGCAGTAGTCCATCTGAAGCTTAACTGAACTTTTTACCTCCTTTAACCAGCCGGTCAGCGCACGGTCAAGTAGCCGCATGCATCAGGTGGATGTATGGCAAGCCATGTTGGCATATAATTGGATTGATGGCCATGTGCATCCCTGACGTAATAAAAAGCCCGACACCGACCCGGCCTGCACATTAAGCACATTATGATGGCCCAGCCTGGTCCCAATCCGGGTCGAGCCGGGCCGGGGTCTGGGTTCGGGTTAGAAATGACAGCTCTAGTCCTCAACCTCCTCGACTGACAGCAGAGATAGACAAATCACCTTCCACTTTCCCCAGGAATCAATGACATATCCAGCTGCATGCGTGTCATCAGGGCAAGTCGGCTCACCTAAAGCCTGTCTTCTCCTCGAAAAAATGTTATCAATTGTGTTCAGGGACCAAATGACCAAATCCATAGCAGAATTACGGTTCAGAAGATATGTAGAAGAGAGGCTCTAAAGCAGTTTTACAGACAGGACAGAGCAAAGCAAAGCGGAGAGGAAGAGGAGGGGAAAAGACTGTCCGCCCTTGACGAGAGCAAGTGTTGAAATGTTGACACATGAATTCAATTGTAAAAAAGAATTTAAACTAAATAAAAGCAAAACAGATCTTCTAAATATGTGCCATTTACTTTGTCAATTTAAAATCACAGATAAATGGTTTGAACTTGTTTCAACAAACTATGCTCCCTTTAAAAACATGTTCTTGTTCCCTTCATGATCTATTTGTCTGCATGGCTGATGGTTTTGTGTCCATCACACTCCCTTAGGACACTTGTTGTACAGTCACATGTCCTGTGTGCTCCTCCTCCTCCTCCTCCTCCTCCTCAGGCAGACTGTCCACCCTCTCTGAAGGTTATTACTCTCTACATGTTGATTAGATTTGTATGAATAGCTGTTTTTGTTCAGCCCTGTTTCCCACAACCCGACATTCGCTCGGCAGTCGTGTGGCTCCGGGACTGCCCCCACTCCCCCTTGTTTTCTTTCTTTCTTTTTTTTTGGTGGGGGGATTGTTGTTGGTGGTGGTGGGGGGACATCTGGTCATTCTGACATCTGTTAGCAACAAAGATGTGCTGTGTGAGAGCGCAGCTGAACATCCTAAAAGAAACCAACTTAGTCAGCTTCAGTCAGTTTTACAGGCATTGGCCTAAAATGTGGTGGTAGTACCTGAGACTGACCCGAGCACACGTTCTGAGTGTTACAAGATCGAACCAGATCCCTGCTGAACAATCTCTTAATACAGATTTGTAGTTTGGAGTTTATCTGTTAGCAAAATATCTCATGAACCACAGGACAAATTTCAAATGAAATTTTCATTGAATCTCCAGCAGATTAACTTTTGGAACCAGCTTAATAGAGTTGGCACAACAGACCATAGGAAACTCAAAAATTGAAACAAAAAAATAAAAAATAGACCAGTTTTACAAATACTGTGTTGAAATTTGGGGTGGTAGTAGCTGAGAGTCATTTGAAACACAAACTCAAAAATCGATTCATTGCACGAGATCTTCGATTAAATCTTGGCATTTACTGATGGTGACATCCCTGTTTGTCTGTTAGCAAAATATCTCAAACTACTGAACATATTTTAACAGAATGTTCAGGAAATAATCACAGGACATACATCTACAGCGGATTAACATTTGGAGTCAATTCTTATTAAGCTGGCCACAACTGATCGACATTAGCTACCACACAAATGGCTACAGCATTAATTTTGTTAATAATAATTGTTTTAATTTTGTAATTAATTTTAGGGCAGAACGTCATCAACCTGTGGTTCTGGGGCCACATGCAGCTCTTTGACTCTTTGACCAAAACTAACAACATTTAATTATACTGGTAAAAGCTATAAAAAGCTACTTTAGCAATGTATATATGTGTGTGCATATATATACATTGCTAAAGTAGCTTTTTATAGCTTTTACCAGTATAAT